ATCCGCCTCAAGGACGAGTGCGAGAACGCGCTGCGCAACATCGTCGACGGCCCAGGTCAGTACATCTTCGGCCTTCCCCTTTTCTGTGGTGTACCTACGATCGCTGCAATGCCACATATACACCCAGAAGACCGTTTAGGGAACCAAATTCAAAACCGATGAAATTTTAGCTCTACTCTGGAAACCCAAGTGTGTACTTGAATGCAGAATATTCTGCATACCTACATGTATGCAGGAAATTCTGTACTTGGCAAGTATGCAGGAGATAGTGTGTACTTGGTCAAGTACACACTAAAACCTCCATACATTTATGCAGGAGCCTTAGTGTGTACTTGACCAAGTACACACTATCTCCTGCATACTTGCCAAGTACAGAATTTCCTGCATACATGTAGGTATGCAGAATATTCTGCATTCAAGTACACACTTAGGTTTCCAGAGTAGAGACCAAAATTTATTCGAGGCAATGAAAAATTTTAATCTAGCTTACTTAATGTGATTGGTGCGACCATATATAGTTTAAAAAGGGGTGACTTAATTTTACTCGGTTTTAGCGGGTTGTAGGAACTAAATTTTGTTTATTACAACCCTGATTTACTTGTATCAACTAAATGGTTCTCTGGGTGTAAAGTTAGAGGGTCCCCTTTTGTCAGAAACAGCGTTTTTCACAGAATGCTCGAAATGTTACATTCGTTTGTTTTGTGTAGGAAAATAGCCACATTTTGTCGGGGAGCTCCCTAAAAATGGCCTGAATTCCCCGTATATAATATAACTTGACAGCAGCATCGTAGCAAACTGTCCGGAAACTTCCCAAAGACCACAAAAATGTGACGGCGTGCCCTCCGGTGCCCCTCCGGCAGGTGCCATGACGGCCCAGCGGCCGCAGCCCATCAACGCCAACACCTTCTGCCGGCCGGGCCGGGACGTGAACATCGTCAAGTCCGAGTTCACCTGCTACTGCACCGACCGCCGCCAGTGGGACTGTCACAAGGGCGCCACGCCCGAGAAGCCCATGCCGGGCAGCAGGAAGGGCTCCACGGCCGGCCGTCAGAAAGGTACCCCGGGAGCGCCACCCCCGCGGCCCTCGGCGTCGGTGAGAAAGGTACGGCCCCACCCTCTCCCTTCTCTCTGCCGCAGTGCCGCGCAAGTGCGAGAGCGACATCGTCATCCACAAGATGTACACCGACTTCTGCGACATGTACGGCATGTACGTGACGTACGACGACTGCCTCACGCCGCGCAACCACACCAGTGAGTAGCGAGCGAGGGGGGCCCCCGGGCTGCGGCGAGCGCCGTGCCCGGTAGGCATGCCCGCCGCGCGCGGCCGCCGCCGAGCTGCCTACCTGTCTGACGGGATGGGCCCCGGGCCCCAGGCTGCGGCGAGCGCCGTGCCCGGTAGGCAGGCCCGCCGCGCGCGGCCGCCGCCGAGCTGCCTACCTCTCTGACGTGCCCCCTCCCCCTCCTCTGCCCCCGCGACAGTCACCGTGCAGAACTGGGTGCAGCGCGACACGCCCGTCGTCTGCCTGCCGGGCTCTTACACCATCTACATCCGCTGCCAGCTGTGCCGCTGCCTGTCGGGCGTCTACCAGCAGGACTGCGAGTTCGTCGACTGCCCGTGGACCACGGCGTCGTAGTTGTTGTATTTATTGTGTGCGGGGCGTGCGGAGAGCGGAAGGGAAGTACAGGAAAGCATTTCCACCCTTTTTTCTATCCGTTGGGTTGTAACTTGTAGCTGGAGAGCCGCTGGTGGTGGCGGCGGGGGGCGGAGGGGAGCAGCGCCATTCAAATCTCTATCGCACATGTCGCCGCAGTATCGCCGACAACGCAGCTATTGCGCCGCGGGGGGCGTGGCGTGGCGTGGCGTGGCGCGGGGGAGCCGAGTGGACGCTGCAAATAATCAATCGCTTTCCGAGCGAGTGACTTCTGCCGGAGCCCGCCGCGGAAGGGAGGGCGACACATCAACCCTCTCCCCGCGGGCCCC